CCTTTCTCTTAGTACAACAGGTCAATGTTACAAAATTACAGATGTGTCCTTCACCCCAGCCCTCTGCTCCATCCACCTCCCTGTTGCATTGTACTTGGGAAGAAACTTGCCCAAAGCCCACAGAGCCCCCACCTGCTGTTTATTTGCAGCCAGTGAAGTGATGCTCCATTGCACATAAACACTCACACAAGCTGTCAGTCAGTCTGGCCTGGCTGTGGGGCTCACAGGATGATACCACTGCTGGAAGGGGGCTCTGTAGGCTCCACTCCACCTTCCCATTCAAAACAGCACCACTGCCAACACTAGCCCAGGTCATCCTGTGTCTTTGCCTAGAGAAGTCTTGCACAACCTTCAGGCAGCAAGTCTGCCACCTCTCTGGGCTGAATCCTCTCCTAGGGAAGAAGTTTTTTCTTGATGTTTAACCTGAGCTTTCTGAACCACAGCCTGTGCCCGTTTTCCCTTGGTGTATCACCTGCTGATACTGATAAAATTTTGACTGTCACCATCATTACCACTTTTCATGTGGGTTGCTGTCAAATTGTCCTTTATCTTCCTTTTTGCCAAGTTAATCAAGCTCAGCTTCTGCAACCTCTACATGGTCTAGACACATCCTGCACCCTTTACTGACCACACATTCATACTGGGACATGTCTCTCTGCACACAGGCATGGAGTGGAGACTTCAGGGGAGATCCTTCTGGCAAAAACAGTGCCTTCCCCAAGCCAGTGGCTGTGAGAGGACAGGCTGCTGGCCTTGTGTCCAGGACCCCTGGCATCAGCTCCGAGCACAGCCCTGGGGGAGATGCTGGAGGCGCCAGCCCAGGCTGAGAACAGCCTTTGCTCTTGGTGTCAAAGCCTCAGCACATCAGCAGCAAGGCAGTGCTGCCCTGCCTGTGCTGGCAGAGCCTGGCAGTCCCAGGAGAACCTGGCCAGCACAGGAATTGTCCCCAGCCAGGAGAGAGGAACCCATCTCATTTATGGCCAGGAGAGAGGCACCCATCTGCATCCTCTCTGAGGTGTAAGGGAAATTTTATCAGTGGTGAAACCATAGCAGCCCAGCATTGTGCAAAACATTTGAGGCTAACATAAACATCTCTGCTTTTATGAAAATAGAAATCAGATGGCATCTAAATGAACCCAGAGTGCTCCTCCAGAACAGTGTCATAAACACTGGTGCTGTTTCTCCAGGGCAGTGTTCTGTCATTTGTCCACAAATGGAAGAACTGGGATCTGGATTTTCCAAGCAAATGACTCAGGCCATGCTCTGCCTTTGTTGGTAGCTGCAGCCTTGCTTTTGACAGGGTGCTTAAAGCATGCTGAAATCCGAGCTTGTGTCATGTCTGGCAGCCTGGACAGTTTCAAAACCCCTGAGACACGTGATTTACCAGAATCGCTTATTTTCCTGCATCCTCACAACCCTTCAGTAAAGCCCCAGAATTCTGCTGGCGTTGGAGAGGGACAGCCCTAAACAAACAGCTTAACCCCAGGGGTCTGGCAGCTCAGAGCCTGCTGAAGACCAGGACACACAAACCTAAGCTTTTTCTACAGAAACCAGCTTAGTTTTGCCTGCAGGGCCCTGCAGTGAGACAGGACAGACAAACCCCTGCACCTTCCCACAGCTGGGACACACCTGGCAAAACACAGCAGGACAAGCAGCACCAGCACTGCAGCTTTAGAATGGAAACTGAGGCACAGCATTGGTGTGTGACAGCCATGCCCAGGGCCATGTGCCTTACTGTCCCCAGGGATCCTGCAGACTTTTCAGCCTGAGGCCCAGCTGCAGGACTGGTTTATCTGGAGTGCACCCATTCAGGATAGTTCCCATTCCCAAAACAGCTTTGTGCTGGGCAGAGCCTGTCAGCATTGGAGGCACCCATGTGGGTGAGGCATGGCTGCCCTCAGCCTCTGTGCTATCCTCCTCCTCAGACCTCTTACATCCCCCAGTTCTGGAGAGATCACACTTTCCTTCCAGTGTCCCCTGCTCTGCTGTTGTCCCCCTCACTCCTTCCAGAGAAGCCCAATTTAGCTGTACATTGGGGCTGCCCTGCTTCAACTCTAAGGATGCCCCTTGTGAGCCTGAGCCTCCACAGACAGCCTGGGAAGTGCTCCTCACCCCTGCACTGAGTACACTTTACTGCTTTCTGATCCCCTCTTCATGGGTGGGAGAAAGGATCCAGCTCTGGGCAGAGAAAACAGGACCAGGTACAGGAAGACCAGAGAAATGTCAATTCTCAGGACAGAAGGAACGGGAAAAATGAAGTGAGGGCAGATTACAGACACAGATAAAACAGGGAAAACCCTGGGGCACGTTGGTCTAAGAGGAAAGAGGAATTTAGATGAGCAGGCAGCTCCTCAGAACATAATATTAAAGGCATGAAGAAACCTCCCAGTGCGGTAGGAGGATGTGCAGCATGTTGGGAATTCAGCTGAATCATAAATTCCTTAATCCCTTGAAGTTCAAGAAGGAATTACATGAAGAAAAACAAGCAATTCAGATTCCAGGAGATGAATGTAAAACCATGGCACAGGCATCTGGGGAGCAACTGGAAATCTGCAGCACAGCTGCTGGTACTGAGGCATGGGAAACATCACAGGAACACCATTTTAGTGCTCAGAGCTGCATCTGCTCCAGCAGCAGCCTTGGCTTAAGCAGCCTCTGCCATCCCCCTCAGCACTTGCCCAGTTCCCAGAAGCTGCTCTATCCCAGGGGAGGTCACACATGCAGAGGGGGCTGCTTATGCCAGTGATGCTGCCAAATAGTAAGTTAAATAGGATAATACTAACAAATTGTGTCCCCATGGCAGCCTAAATAAACCAGAGGCTTCCAGAGGTGGATTTCATCTACCCAACTTGTCCCAGCACAGTGTATTTGGAAAAGCCCTGCTGCAGCCATCCACCTCAATGGCCAAGAGCACACAGTGATGATCTTCAAAAACATTTCCTGGAAAAATATCAGTAGAATTAAAGAGTTTTCAGCATGAGAATGATACCAAGACAATACACCAAGACTGTTTTAAATTAAATTTGCTCTGCCTAATCTATTTGCTTTCCCTCCAGGGCAGGAGTTTCACTTCCCTGAAAGCAGAGCAGCTGTGGATTGCAGAATCATGGAATGGGTAATGTTGGAAGGCACCATGAAAGTCATCCAGTCCAATCTGCCTGCTCTAGCAGGACCTGGACCATGTCACTCATGGTACCTGGACTGAGTCCAGTCTCCTTTTGAAAATTAATGCTTAGTCACCCTCACAGTAAGGAATTTCTTGTTCATGGTCAGGTGGGATGGTTGGGCTGTTGACTTTAACAAGGTTTTTTGCACTGTCACAAGTACCATTCATGTAAATAAGTGAGAGCTGACCATGGCTTGGCACAGGTCTGGGAAGCACCACAGGTCCTTGGGCTGGGGGTCTGCTCTTGAAAACTTCTGTGGAACAGACACAAAACTGGATAGAGATCCATGATCACAGCAAAACTGCAGGGGGTATTGAGTGCAAGTCCACAGAAGCCTTGTCTGAGCCAGACTCATTAATGATTTGAATGCTGAACTGCAGAGAATGCTTATCCAGGAACTGCAAGCATGGTGACTAGCAATAGGAGACAAAATCTGATCTCAGAATTATCCAGGAAAATAAAAAAACCAATAGGATGCAGTTCAAACACAACAAGAACAGCATATGGCAATGCAACAGAAGTAAACAACTGTACAAACACAGGGAGGAAATTGCCCATTCAGTAATAACTCTGCAAAAATTCAAACACATTCTGCAGTAATGACAGGTCATGAACTGTCTGTCATGGGCTGTGTCAGCACACTGCTGTGAAAAAGGAAGCCTCCAACTGGGAAATGCACAAAGGAGGGACACCAGGACAACACAGAAAGAAACTCCCCTGCTCCAGCTGTTATTGCCAGAGCTTGGCTACTGTGCAATGTCCACTCTTGGCATTCAAGTCCAAAAGGCATAAGGGAGAATGATTGACAGACCAGAAATGTGATGTCTGAGAAAGCACTGAAGGAACCAACAGAGAAAATTTAGAACCACACCAGTTTAGAAAAGAAAGTAGGCCTAGACTACTTTGGCCTAGGATACTACAATATTGGCCCTCAAAGAACTAAAAATTATTTACAGAAAGAAATGGGAAGTGGGAAGGGAAGGCAAGGCAGGGCAGGCAAAGCAGGGAAGGCAAAGCAGGGCAGGCAAAGCAGTCTTCAGGGAAATTCAGCTCCACAATGGCTGATACCAGGCCCTGTCCTGTGACTGCAGTTCTTCCCTGATCAGTCTCAGAAACACTCACTCAACTCTCCCTCCTATGTTAGGAAAGCCCAAGGTTTGCTGGCAACTCCACATTCCTCCAGATTCCTGTTTTTTATGTAAGCTGTAGGGAAGATGATGCCAGGGCTCTGCTCCTTGAGCCTCAGTCTGCCTCAGAGGGCATGGGCACTTGGCAGTCACTGCCACTTCTCCTCCCTCCCTGCTACAAGTGTTGGGTGTGCAGAGACATTTCCCACTGTGCCCACAGTAATCCCTGCCCATGTGGCTATCAGGCACTCTTGGGGAAAACATTTCAGGCATGACTATTTTTGATTATGATCCTGTGGCCTGAGCTCCACCAGCCTGGGCTTGTTTGGTTTAAGAAGGAGCCAAGAAAGTGCTGCTGACAGGACAGTTACCAAAAATGACCATGCAGGACATGAAACAGCAGAAGGCTCATCCCCACTATCCCAGGACAACCTCTATACAGAAACCACCACAGGTTTGAGCTGTGACACAGTGCACCCTGTTCCTCATGGCATTCTCCCCTTGCAGCATAAACTCCTGCTCCAGGACTTCCCAGGACACCTGCTGTGCTCTGGGCATAGACCTGAGCCAGGACAACCAGGGACAGCCAGGACAGCCAGGGACAGCCAGGGAATCCAGGAAAGCCAGGATAGCCAGGACAGCCAGGACAGCCAGGGAATCCAGGAAAGCCAGAATAGCCAGGGACAGCCAGGACAGCCAGGACAGCTGCAGCAGCCCTGGCGTGACCAGAGCCCATCGAGGCAGGGGACCTTGGCTGCAGGGCTTTCCCACAGAGCCAAAGGAAGGATGGGCACAGCACTTTTGCCAGGGCTGACATCTCAGGGAATAAAGACAAATAAATTGGTGGGAATTTGTGGGAGACCTAAGTGTAAACACGACAGGAAAAGGAAGCTCCCCCCAGCTGAGGGACCAGGGAGCCATCCCAGGGCCCAGCTGGGTGTTAGGACAGGACTCACGATGGTCTGAGGAGGAGGCAAATTTCTCTCTACAAGCGAGTCCAGCTCGGCTGTGCTGAGTTTTTACGCTGGAAGTCGGTGGGACAGGGCTCAGGAACATCAGCTACCAGTTGCCAAAGGGTAGTCGGCCCTGCCAGTCGGCCCTGGCGCTGGGCCATGTCCAGAAGGAGGAACGCTGCCGTGCCAGCCCTGAGGGGCATGCCCCGCTCCGCGGCCCCACGCGTGGGCTCACCCGTTCCCGCAGGTTTTGCTCCCATCTAGCGGCTGATCCCGGCTCCACACGGCGCTCGGAGCCCGGAGGAGGCAGCCCGGGGTCCGCAGCTCGGCTCGGGCAGTGTCTGTCAGAGCCCCTCGGTGCCGAGAGCGCACCGGCAGGGCCGGGGCTGGGGCTGCCCTGAGCGCCGGCCCTGTGCCAGGGAACCCGCACGGCCAAGGGATGATCCCTCAGCCTGTGCTCTGAAGGGCTCGCCCCCCTCTTCCACAGTGAAAACTCATCTTTAACATCTACCCCAGGTTCTGCCTGAGCTGCACCACCTCAGTTTGGGCTTATCCTCCCCCTTCCCGGACCCTCTTCTCCCTCCAAAGTTTGGAGAGACCGCAGCAGACATGGGCACAATGGGCCATGGACCATGTGGCACCATCAGCAGGAGCCGCAGCAAGTGTCTGGGAATGAAAATTTCGGTCTTTCTCAGCACTGGGCAGCCTGGAAGGAAATAAAATTACATCATTCCTCATAGTACAAGCCCATTTTGTTAGGCACAAAAGACCAGTGTGAAGTTCAGAGGGTAGAATACAGTGAAGAAAAAAAACCCTAATACTCATCTGTGAACCAAGATAGGCTTTATAATTTTTCCAAAACCCTGCAAGGGCATACAATACGACAAACAGCTCCAGACAGTCTGCTCTTGCAAGTACTTTGTCCAGCCCTGAAACACAGGGGTTTTCCCAGCAGCTGCTTTAAACTCAGTCCATTTGTTTAAACTGCTGGCAGACTGGCACCGCTTTTAGAACAGCCCACTGGGGCAATAGGCAATGGTCCCACACAGGCTGTGTGAGCCAAGCTGGACAGCACAGGCACCCACAGCCCCTGGAGCAGGGGGCAGCTCAGGGATGGCAGCTGGGATCAGGCTGAAAAGCAGGATAGCAATAGGAGAAAGGAGAGTTAGAAGATGTGATGCTGGCAGCTGGAGCTCAGAGAGATGGAACCAGGGCTCCTGAAAAGCAAACAGGAAAGGCAAACACATGCAGGATTATTTCTTTTGGCTGCTAATTTGCCATCAGTGGAGCCATATGATGAAGTAGTGAGGAGTCACCCAGGGGTGAGGGCAGAAACCCATCTTCAGGTGTCCATATGGCCGTAGATCAGATTAAGTAAATTAAAACCTTATCCTAAAGCCCTTTACTACAGCAGGAAGCCCAGCTGCTGTGGAATGGGGAAAAAATCATGTTCTTGGGTCCTGGCTCTGCAGTACTGCCTCTCAACGTCTCCTCTCCACACTCACAAGCTCCAGCTCTTTCTATAAAGCACAGGGCACATCCCACCTATCCTGTTCACCACTGTCTTTCACAATCTTCCCATAAACCTGCTGGTTATCTGGCTGGCAGACACATCTAAGTGCTCTGTGCAGGCAGACACATCTCAGTGGTCTGTGCATCCTACTTTACAGCAGAGTTGAGTTCACAGTGTTTTGTTGTCCTGCAAGTCTCACACTCTGCTAAGAGGCCACTCACAGCCCATACAAATGATACATCATGTAGGAATATTTCCCTGTAATGCCCCATAATAAAAACGCAAATAATGAACATGAAAGAGGCACGGTCCTTTCCATGTCCCAGTGCCACTAGATGGCACCAGGAGTGTACCCTTCCCAGCTCGGGTGTTCCCAGGGCCACCGGGGGAAACTGGGGAATCCAGGCCAGCCCTTCCTTGCTGCAGAGAGCTCAGCACACACAGTGCCTCCTCCTTGTCTTTTCTTCATGCACCGTGGGGTGCTGCAGTAAAGGCAGGCATTTCAGCCTTAAAAATCAACCTTCAGTGATGTGCTGGGGGTAATAGGCTGTGGTGGCTTTTGCCATGTTGCCTGCCACACACACATCCCTTTCCCCACCTGTGGACCAGGCATCACTCCCAGCTGGGTGCTGGAAAGGAAAGCCTAAAAGGTGGGTACAAGTTATTTTGATTAATATTGGGATTAACATATGAGTTTCCCATCATTGACAGGCTCCTCTTGGGAGGAACAGGAATAAAACACAATTCACTATATAATTTTGCAATCAGAAGGTTTGCCTTCTCTGAGGCCTTACAGTTTTAGAGATTGATTCTCCTCATGCACATTTGATATCCAGCAGAACTCAGCATGTCCCAGAGTATTACCTGTGGTTTTCACTATCAAGCCCTCCATTCCCGGTCACATCCTTGGCAAAGCCACTAAACAAACCAGGGAAGAACAGGCAGCACTTCAGCAAATGTCAGGTGTTTCCTCAGACCTTGCAGCATAATTAAGGAGCATCTGCTTTCCACTGCCCTCAGCATCAAGGTGACCCTCAGAGATGGCAGCTCACATGAGGGGAGTGCTGGTGAGGCCCTGTAGTAACACTTCAAAGCAGCCAGCCAAACCCTGGCCCCCAGCAGTGTGGGGCACTCAGGTGACAAATCATTGCTCATCACAGAGCCCTTCTGCCCCGAGCAGAGCTGGAGAGGTGATGGAGCAGCTTCCAAAAGAGCCAGAGCAGCTTGTCATTCCTTCCTGCCCACATCCCAAGCCTAGTGTGTCTGGATGATAGATGAACATGGCAGTGGCACAGCCCTTGTGCCAGGGGGATCCCAGTGAAACCTTAAGTGAAAAGGGAGAGGGAAAGAGACTTTGTGCAGGGAGCCTCTGAGTGATGCTATCCTGCTCACAGAGGTGGAAGAAAGGCCAAGTGGGAGATGCATAGCACAGCTCCATGATGGCGCTGGCAGGCAGGTGGCAATGGCAGGGCTGTCCCTGCCCACATCCCAAGGCCACAAGATAATCCTACAGGAGGATCCTGAGTGTGACCCTGCTTCCCAGCCCTCTTCAGAGAGTGGCACAAATCCCACACAAGCGCTTTAACCCCAGGTTAGGGTGAAAGCTAGAAAGGAGGAGGCTGGATCACTTGGGAAGTTCAGGTCACATAATCGAGTGGGTTAAAATCCCTCATCCATTCCATCAAACAAGGCAAATCCCTCGTCCTCCTTCCCTGCAGCCTCTGCTTCTTTCCCTGATCACCTCAGACAGTCCTAGGGAGTGACCCAGCGTTCCCTTGCCACTGCCTCCCCTCCAGGGAGCCTCCCCACACACCATCTGCTCTCCACAGGTGATTTGTGGGTACCCAAGGACATCCCTCCCACACCATCTTCCTCCACACCACCCCATCACCCCCAGCCAACATCCCTGGGCCCTCTGGCTCTGGAAAACTTCATTAAACCTCATGGACAAACTCAAGTCTTTATTTGGTCTCTCCATGAGTGCATGTTTTCACATATGGTGCAAAAATTTGCTGCTACAAAACCTGATTGATCTGCACACTGCAGTGGCAAGCCTGGTGCCCCTCAGGGCTCCCAGCTGCTGATTCCAAGCAGAACACACCCCTGTGTGGCTGCAGATGTCAAACAGCACAGACACACATCAACATCGACGTGTGCATGGCCAGAGCTGTCCACATGCTGAAGGATTATTTTTAACCTAACAGTGATGGAAATGTCAGAGAGGGTTTTATTTACTTTCTCTGGAAGGCTTGTTGCTCGAAATCCCCATTGGCAAAGGCTGACCCTGACCTTGCCATCACAATAGGGTCTATCATCCAGGTCTGACATCCCTTCCCTGAAAAAATGTGCAATTCAGCAGGAGGGGAGGGTGACTGGCCCACAGTACCTGGCAGGGCTGGCAACCTCCAGAAGGCAGGTGCTCATCCAGCCCTGCAGCCCAACCCATGCCCACCCAGCCAGGCTGCAGGTCCCCCAGATTCCCCAGCCTTCCCACATCTCAGGGGAGGTCTCACTGCAGCCACAGTGGGCAGCTATGAAATGTTAGAGACACCAGGGCTGCCCTTTTGAGCAGCCAGGCAGTCAGGAAGGGCAAGCAGGCCATGGGATGCTCTCACTGCCCTTCAGTGACATGAGGGACAAAGTGTAACAGAGCCAAGGTCTCCTGGTGCCCTGAAAGCACCAGAGGACTCCCTGGAGATGGAGCAACCTGTTTCTTCTCCTCTGACACTAACCCCACACTCAGCACTGCATCATGAACAAAGCCAACGACAATTACAAACCTGTCCTGGCTCCTTTCCAGCTCCCAGGACCCCATCTGCACTGAGGGCTCTGGGATGGGGCACCTGTGTCCCTGGGGTGATGGCACAGCCCTGCAGAATGTGGCAGCACCCAGCTGGACCTGCACTTCCCAGGGTACCAGGACATGACATGTCCCCCAGTACACACATTGACAGGTTATGCACAAGTTTTCCTTCTCCTTGTTAGGGTAGCAGACTCGAGGGGTAAGGCTGCTCAGAAAAGCACTGGCACATCTGAGGTAGAGTTTCTTGCTTGGTTATGGTGTCAAAGAGGAGCAGTAATGTTCTATATTCACATAATAGCAAAGGAGGGCCTTGAAGCACATCCCACTTGGGGTCTGTGACCAGTCCATAGACAAGCAGGATGAAAAATCACTGTTTTTCCTTCAGAACTGCCTATTTACATCTGAAAACTAGCAGAGACCTTACCCAGAGGCTGGGACAAGCAGTTCCATTTACTGCCTGCTTCCCATGAGGTTTTCTTCTTCCTCTCCAAGAGGAAATTTCAGTAACTGAGGTATAAAAATTAATGCAAACCATGCTATTGAGCCAGCTGTAAAACTCATACAGGAGGAGCTCCCCATCCCACACCTCCCCATGGCAGGCTGCCCCCAAAGCAGGTCACAGCCTTCATGAGAGAGGGAAGAGGCAGCTCTGTCTGCACCCTCCTGGTGCAGGTCAGGCTTTGTGGGGTAAACTGAGGCACCCAGACCTGCAGGCATTGCCAGCACAATCAGCCAGGCAATATTCCCTGACAGAGGTCTTGGATCCCTTGGGGGTTGCAATGCTGGGACACCATGAGGTGCAGCAATTCCAATCTCATTGGAGATTTCATGGAACAAGAGGTGGAAACAGAGAGGAAGTCAGTGAGGGGAAACCCTCCTCCACACTTGCCACATCCTGGGAATAACCACCAGGACTCAGCTGAATGGCAGTCTCTAGGAAATCTTGAAGAAATGTCCTTCAACCATATCCCATTCATCTTTCTCCTGGCCTTTGCATATAGGATTGGGATTTGAGCCTCATGGTTCTCCTTCAAAAGTGCAAAAATTTTATCTTCCATGGCTGACAGGCTTCTCCATGCATCCAGCTGCATGTGAAGCTTTCAAGGAGCCATGGTTTCAGACACTGGCACAGCAGAGAAAGGCCTCATGTTTCTCCCAGCAGGCCTGAGGAAAGGCAAAAAAAAAGCTGGGTAATTAAACAGCACTTGTCAGAACATGTGCAAGAGTCAAACAGCAGAAACATCCCTCCTGTGCACACTCCTGCATGAAGCTGTATCCACACTTACCTGCTGAAATCCTCACTTCCTGGGCTAAACAAAATCCATGGGCAGCACCCCCACTGCTGCCTGCCCTCCCCAGCCAAACCTTCTCACTCCTCTTCTGGAAGGGCATTTCATGCTAACATGAAACAACCAAAACCAATGTTCTTCCAAAGTCCTGCCACATCCATGTACAGGAGGGAGAAACGTGTTTCTGGCTAGGAGGAAGCATTTGGTTCCCAGAGAGCCTACAGGTCACACCCCAGAGCATGGCAGCAAAATCACCGGGCTGGCATGGAAGGAGGAAGGTGGCACATCCCATAACTGATTTCACCTTTACTGTGCTAGGCATGCATGTCCAGCACACTGCACACTCAGCTGGGTCTGGGATTTGGGAGCCTATTTTCCCAGGGAATTTCAGCAAACAGGAGATTCAGGGACTTACAATGCTTTAAAAACTTGTTCCTCGATATCTTTACTAAAGCAAAGGTGACACTATGGGTAATTTCTTTAAAGCAGTGTATAAACATGGGTGGCTGACAGCCAATTCATTATATCAGAATCAGTTTTCATTAGGAGGGGAAGCTTTTGTGCTTATTAATTGTTTCTCTAATTGCTTTCTCTCCCTGCTACCAGGACAGCCTGCTGTCTGCCTGTGCCTGGAGGGCAGAGTCCTGCATACCTCATCCCTGATCTGCTAACATGGGTAACTATAAATAAATAGTGACACCTGAGAGGGGAGGAGGAGAGGGACTGTGCTTCTCAACCTCAGTCTAGTCAGCTTATGCAACAGAAGGTAACTGCTGGCAATCTGTAGTTATTGACTGAGCAGGACTATTTCTGATAGCTGTGGGCTCTGACCTGGCCAACATAAAATTCTCCATTTCTGAGCTGGAGCTGGATAACTTTGGACCAGCAAGAAGTTGTCAATTATTTAAAGTGAAGAAAATAGATGCATGTTCTCCACTAAGCAGTATTCAGTCAGCTAAATGGGGCCAAGCCTGGTTGAATTAATGCAGCTGTCATGGAGAGGGCAGTGGTGGGGCTCACATATCCCTCCCCTCGGCACCAGAGAAGCAGGAGGATCACTGAGAGGTTCCTCCTTGACTTGTCCTGCTAGAAGGCAACAGCACCTGCCTGGGACACCGTGCCCAGGCAGAGGATAATAAGAGCTGGGAGGGAGGGGATGCTGCAGACAGGCCTTGCTGCAGGGACACACAGACACGAGTGAAAGATGGGGAGGAAGAGCCAGCCCTGCCTTCTCCTTTGTCCCTGCTGTAACCTGAATCACTCATCTAAGAATTCAGCACCCTGCACTGCCTCCAACACGATCCTGCAGGAGAGAGAGGGAGGGAGAGCCAGTGCATGGAGCAATGAGGGCCCTGGGGAGGTGAGGCTGCAGCTCCACCTCCCTGTAAGAAGTGTGTCTGGGCAGGTACACCTTACACACAAACACACACACACACACCCACCTTTGCTAACAGCAGAGGCAGCCACAGAGCCCACATTTTCTAGGTTTTACTTCTATATCTGCAAAAAGCAAGTTTGCTTCTGTTTCTGATTCCCTGCAATTATCATGAAATGCCTTCAAGAGAGCAGCTCTGTCATCTCGGCTGAGCGAATCTTTGATGTCCAGCACTGCACTCAGATGTTCCTTCCTTTCCAAAAGGACAAGAGGACAGTTAGTGAATAAGCCAAGAAAAAAACCTTAACATTTGTTTCCTATCCCTGAGTTTTGCTGGACCAGACCAAAAATTGGAAGCTGCTTTTTGACACCCTCTGGCTATCTAAGGGGGAGGCCATATCCCAAGAGCTGTGTGGGACAGGGCTGAGCTCAAGGGTCCCAAGCCCAGAGCACACAGCATCCTTGTGAAGTATTGAAAACGTTCAGTTTAGGTTATTCCTAGAAAAAGACCTGTATCTATCATAATAGGATTCAGATAACTCTACATTTGACCATTTGGAGGCATTTTTGATATCTTTTCTCCCCTCAAATGGAGCCAATTCTTGCTCATCTGGAAGGTTACAGCATTTGTGTTCTACAGAGCTCTGTTCCCCTAAGCAGAAAAATACTGTGTTGGATATAAGGCAAATGTATACAAGCCAAACAGTTTGAAACAGAGAAATCTGTTTTAGTCAGCAACAGTGCATCCACTCACACCAGGATAACCTCCTCTGAGATCTGGGTCTTCTGAGAACTTTCTATGCCCACTTCCTATACTATGTATGTATATGTATATATATACAATGATATATATATTATATATATATATATATATATATATCATTGCTATGCTGTATCAGATAAGCAACTTTTTAGCTCAATAGCATTTTCAAAAGTAGTAAAGTAAAAAAGAGTTAAGAAACCAGATGAAGCATAACATAATCTCTTTGTCTTTCTTTTTATTTTTTTCTTTGCCTACAGCAGTCCTTCCTGCAGAAGTCTAGAGACTTCCCTTGCTGCAGGTTTATCTGATGACTATCATGTTGAATAGGCACTGAAGTAATTATCTGCCACAAATTGTCTGCCCCACGTTTGAAGGTATTCACACTTTTGGCCTTCAGAGCATCCTGTGACAGACAGTTTTACACTGCAATCATGTTAAGTTGGAAAAACACAGGCACAGCTCATCAGAACAAAAGATAGATGCAGTAAACCACAGGCTTTGGAAAAAATGCAGTTATCCAAGATCTCTCCTTCCTAGTAAAACCTGTGTTTTCAATTCTGTTAAATTTTCTGTAAGAAATACAAGTGTGTATTCTTGCTGGATACACCTTGAAACTTCTGAAAATAGTTATAGAAGGTGTGGTGAAGTGTTGAAGCCAGAAGCCAAGTGTTCGGAAGTTATGAAATGCCCAAATTAAGGATGTTCTTGAAACCTACATTTGACACATATGGTCCTGTAAATTCTGCATTAAGGTAGTACTTTTCTACAGCATTTCTGCTTTTTTGACAGCAATTTCATCCATCCTCCACCTTTACAGGAGGACATTTCAACTTCAGCAGTTCATGTCTGACAAGGATATAAACCAGACACCAGTGAGTACATTCAAAGGGTCACTGTGCCTGGCCCAACACACTGCAAATTATCACAGGACTAATATTGCTGTAGGTCTTCTGGTTTCAAGTAATCATGTAAGAAAGTACAGAAGTCAAAGCAATCAAAGACATTACCTGAGGTCAGGAAATTCCTTTAGAATGGGCAGAAGTGCTATCTTCATCCCCTCAGGATCAGAAGTTTGAACAAGCTCTAAAATTGCTTTTATTGGATCCTTGAGAGAGCCAGCTGCAGGACCCTGGGAGAAAAGCAATATTTTGTTCAGGGCAGGAGAAACAGCACAGCACATTAAGAGCTGGACTCATGTCAGACTGGGGATCTCTCTGTGTGGGTTAGGAGCTTTGCAGGAGTATGTATAGAAGTGCATGTATAGAAATCTGATTTTCCCCACAAGGTAGCAGAAAAGAACCTGGGGAGTAGCCACAGACTGCTTCCAGGGTGGCTGGGCAACAATGTTCAGCAGCGCAGAGTACTTCCTTTGGCAAAGCTGGAAAATGTACCTCATTTTTCCCTAAACTGCCTTTCCTTTCAGGGCCATTTCCTCTCGTGGGATGTGGTTTGCCCTTGAAGGTAAGCACAGCCCTGTGTTTGACTATGTGAAAACAAGCCTTGTTGGCCAAACATGTTGACATTTCTGCCCCCCCAGATCAAGCCAAGGGACAGAAAAGCAACCTTAGGGAGAGGATAAGAGAACACAGATTCTTTAATAGAAAAAACATGGGAAACAGGGCTGGACAGTGTAGAAAACATGACATGGTTGGTAGATGTTGCACACAATGATCTCCCTCTCATCTAGAGCACACAGGAGAAAAAAGTCTCATCAGAAAACACACAGCATTTTCAGCAGAGCTGGAGAAGCAGAATGCAGATGAACCACCAGGAAGAGAGCTTCAGGTCTTGCTCACATTTTCCATCAGTGCAGTAATGCAATTTAATTGCTTCCCTGAATTATTGATGCCTCCACATCAACAGAGAGTGTGACAAAGCAAACCTGGAGAACAGGCTGCCAAACTGGGGCAGGAGAAGCCCAGGTTCCCCTGATCTGCAGGGGGCATTAGAAACAGCTGGTCACATTCTCCATGCAGCTCCTCTGCAATGAACATAAATTAAAAATAATAATAATATTTGAAGACAGCCTTCCCCCTCTCCCCCTGCACTGCAGGCACACAGCATGTCTAGCTCTGCTCAGTGCACAAGCTGTACTCAGCTCCTCAGGCACTGGTACTGTACAGCTTCATACTTGGCAAGCTCACTATTACAAAATGCTAATTAATTTGAAGGCGTCAGATTTAGTTAAGCACTGCATAGGCAGGCAAGGTCAGAGGTAAACAGCCTGCAGTCTAAAGGGGAAAAAAAGAGGTGTTTTGTCAGCAGTGTTTAAGTGCCTTTGACACTTACTGCTCTTAGGAGAGAAGCAAGGTATTTCCTAATGTGTTTTGAGAGCAGAGGGGAAGGAAAAGCCCAGAGAGAGGGCAGAGCAGGGCAGGGAGCAGGTGCAGCCTGTGCAACAGCTGCATGATAAACTCAGTCTGCAGCAGAGTTCATATTTGGCATGCATAACCGTGAGCCTCATGACTGAGGAGCAGGCTGTCCCCTGCAAATCTCTTGTGCATTTCACCTACAAGGCTTTCAGTGCTCTCACATCAAGTAAGAAAGTGCACACACTTCTAACCAGCTCTTTTTGACCCAAGCTCAATGTAGGGTTTTAATAGATAATTAGATTTCCTCTATTTCCTTTGCACTGTTCCATGCACGTTACATCCAAAGCTGATGCTGAGCACAGCATTTCTGGTAAACTTCAGAGTTAAGATTAGAGAACCCTCCTGCTATTCCGCATGTCTCAATTGCTGAAAGCATTAATTCATCTGTGATCGATCACTCCAAGAGAGGTGGGAATTCAGCTAAAAGCACTGGCAGCTCCCAGCTTTCTGCCATGAATCTAATGCATTAATTGTAATGGGTCTGAGAGGATTTTAGAGAAGCCTACAGACAATCATTTTTATTTCATTTTATTCATTGGACAAGGTAAGAATTGCTGACATATGGCTTGCAAGGGACTCACTTATGAGAAAATAGATTTTCAGTCCCTAGCACTTATATAGGCAAGTTGTGAGAATGACTCAGCATTTGTGAAATCATTAAAACCAGTGCAGCCAAGGGGTTTAGATGCTGTCACATCTGAGTCCTCTTACCAGACTGACTTTGCAACCACTGCTGTGCTGCTCAGCCCAGCCCCCTATGGAGCACCATCCTGGGCACTCTCAGCCTGCATCTGCTGAGGAGCCATGCCAGGGACATTGCACAGCAGCGATTCTCCAACTGCACCAGCTGAAGGAGGGGACACTGCTGTCAGGGCAGTCCTGGCCCTTGGGTAACCCAGGGACTCATGTGACAGCCTGGTGGCACCCACAGATGCTGTGTGCAGCACTGCCAATTACACCAGATTATGAGGTGAGACTTTTTAAAGCTTCTGAAGTTGTTTCTACAAATCAGAACCAGCACTTTGCGCAAGTTTTCTTCATAGGTGTGGCTCTGCTTTTACACCCAATCCTCTGCAATGTGCCTTCACCTCCTAATGATGTGAGGTGTTTACCCCTGCAGGAAGACTCGTTCCTCCCCACAGCCGTCAGCAACCACAACAGCATCAGCATGTTTTGCCATGAGGAAATGCCAGAGCACAGGGAAATGGCTGAGGCAGCCATCATCCCAGCTCTGAGGGGCTGGGAAGGCCTGTGGGGAGGGAGGAGGCTGGATGGATGGAGGGGTGGCAATTCACACCCCATGCCCAGGGAGGAGCAGCCTTCCAGGGCAATGCACAGAGCAGGTGGAGGTGGGGAGCTGTTTGCTTCATCACTGCAGAGGCTCCAGGGTAAGCACTGCCACCCCATGCCAGCTACCAGAGGGCTGATGGAGGAGCTGGCAGCTCTGGAGCTGTCTCACCAGCTCAGAGGAGCGCGCCTCATTCTTGTGTCAGTGGCAGCAGTGCAAAACTTGCATCTTCCAGTCACACATTTCAAAACCATGAGCTAACAGCTTCTGACAGATCAGAAGAGCTGTCAGCATATCTGAATGTCATTTCAGTGAAGCTTGATACCCCTGTGGTAAAAACTCTTAAGCTTTTTTGCAGTCTTCAGAGTCTCTTCCTCTGCTGGTATTGTTCTTGATGACAAAGAGCAAAACTGTAACCATATCAAAGACTTACTAAGCATTCTTTGAAGATGGTTTGCATCATCCTATGATCTTCTTCTATCTTGTTTGCAATCCTCCTTCTCTGCATAGCAGATGTTTTCCTGGGAGTGGTCAGGAGGGCCTGCATGTATTCTGTAACAATGATGGCATTGACAGCCTTGACCAGGGCCTGTTCCAGAGCAAAGAGACCCAGATTAACTCCCCTGCACTGAGCAAGGCTCAGCCACACCTGTACCAGGGCACAGAGCAGGTATTCTGCCCATGCAGATGGCTGGCCCATTTCTTTGCTTAAATATTAATTTAAAATACTTGATCTATCACTTGGACTATCTCCAAGCAGCATGTGGATCACAAAGCTGGAGACATCAAATCAAAAGCAATGGGAGCAGTTAGCTGAGCCAGAGGTCACTCACACTCCAGAGCTGCAGCAACAATTGGCTTGGCTAACAAATCATCACCTGGGGGGAGCTTGGGCTGCAGACAAAGCCAGATGCATCCTCCCTCCAGCATCTACACTTGACACAGGGCCCTGGGGCACACAGTTGGGGCTGGGCACAGAGAAGTCACCTGGGCAGCTCCCTCTTAGCTCCCAGTACTGGCTGAGGAACCCCAGTGCAGAGCCATGCAGTGCCTGACGGGAACAGGGAGTGTTTCTGCTGGGGGTGGGCTGCTGCACAGAAACCACATTTTGTTAGCAATTGAAATCAGAGCAGGGTTAGGCTGCAGTCCAAAGGTACAGGAAATCCCCAGCTCTGTCCAAAACAGACAAAGCAAGGCACAGAGAGCTCTGGCACAGCGCTTCACCACTGAGCTGCTGCTTGCCCCAGCACTAATGTGACATGATGTCCAGTGACAGCCTTTGAACAACAGCAGAATAGATCCTACTTTTTTCTCTTGCATTACTTTTTCCATATTGCAAAATGTTAATTAAAATCATCACTGACAAAGAGACTGCAGACCTGGGAGCCCCATGCTTAGGAGGACACGTTGCACATGTAGCAGCTTCGTAGCAGCTGCAAATCCAGCCGGCACAAAAGAGAGGATTCCCCAGGTACCAACCTCATTGCTGAGGAGATAGACTCAAGGCTGCTGTAAGATCCTATAAAAGCTGTTTAGGCTACTGTAAAAGTGAAAAAACTTGGGTACTTTGTGAGGTTGTTTGCCAATTACTCTGCATGAGACGCTGTGCCCTTTAAGAATTTGGACTTTTCACCCCTCTCTGTCCACTCTACATCAAAGGGATCAATAATCCTCACAAATAAGGTTGAAACACATTAGAAGCTGAGAAAATTTCCAAAATAATTATATTGGAGCAATGGTAGGAGAGGAGCTCCCCTCTGTATTTGGGAGGTACATTCAGTTTCCACATTTCTTCACTTTTTGGTTTCTCTGTTGAAATTACAGGAAGGTCTCAGCTGTCACTACCCAACCCTGGTGGACAGAGGTACTGGACTGAGACCACCAGATATTTAAAAGCCCATTTGACAACAGAGAAAACTGCAGTTTAATTTTCTAGTACTGTGCCATCCAAATGTTCAATTACTAGTTTTAGTGATTTCACAGAACAGAATGGTTTGGATTGGAAGATACCTTAAAGATCACCTAGTTCACAACCCCCTGCCATGGGCAGGGACACCTTCCACCAGAGCAGGCTGTTCAGTACCCCATCCAACATGGCCTTCAACACTTCCAGAGATGGGGCACCCTCAACTTCTCTGGGCAACTTCTGCCAGCACCTCAACACTCCCACAGCAAAGAAGTTCCTCCTAAAATCTAATCTAAACCCATTCTCTTTTAGTTTGAATCCATTCCCCCTTGTCCTTTTACTACATGTCCTTGGAAAAAAAATCCCTCTCAATCTTTCTTGTAGGATGATTTCCTGAGTAACATATTGTTCTCACTGTCTTACTTATTTCTTACCTCATATATATCTGTTTTTTTCTTCCCAAAGGTCAAAAAGCTTTGCTTTAAGGATTCAAGGACGTGGTCAAAACCACTGTCACACTTTTTGAAGTGGTCCTTCAGTGTTCCCTGAGGAAAAGAAACAGACAGAGTCAAAGGGTGCACATGTAGAGACACCAAACAAACAACAGACACAGATTATTGTGTCTTTGCTCTTTCTGCTCTTGGAAACAGACTTCTCCACCAACTGTAGCATCCTGTGTTTTTATTTCAAAGAAAATCAAAACATGAAAGAAAGAAACAATTCCAGCTCAGGAAGGATGTACTAAGCTCTTAAGCCCAAACCTGGAAGACTGAAAACCTGGGCCCTGGGCCTCCTGTTCCCCCCAGGGCTGCTGGTGCTCTGTCAGAGCCACCCCCAGTTCCCACACAGATGTGTGTGCCCATGGGACAGGCTGGCAATGAGCTCTGGGACCAAAGCTGCACAGTGTAGCCAGAGTTTCTCTTGTCATTTTCCTTTTGCTGCCTCCAGCCTGCCCGGGGGAGCCTGAGCAATGAGGCTGGAGATGCCCAGGGGAGCTTCCCAGGGAAATGCACAGCATCACACACTGTCAGGAGCCTGGAATTCTGTGTTTTCCAGACACAAGGGTGAACGGTGCCTGGGCTAACAGACTGACACTAGAAAGGATGAAGGAAGGGGACTTTATCTCAAGGGAGGGACACATTTCTGGTCATCCTTCTCTACATCCTGACTAGCCAGCACAGCCCTGGGCTCTGTGAGTTATCACTGTCCTGGGAAGATGCCCAGCTCCTGGGAATTAATAGGTACCAGATGAAATTCAGCTTTCTGGGCTCTGGGCAGCACAACAGCAGACACTACAAACAGTGAAACTGAGGTCCCAAAACTGTGAAGCTGTCCACATACAGATTCTGACAAAGCAGAGGAGAATACCAGGCTTGAAGGCCAAACTTCACCTTTCCCAAATCAGGACATGAGGGAAGGGCCTGCCAGCCATATGGTCTGCAAAGAGTCAGAATTAAAATGGGTCTTCCATACCTTGACTTTAGTAGTGATGGTCTGCAGAAAATGCTCCATAATGTCATCTTCCATCCTGTGTAGAAATCCATTCACCTTAACATTCTGCTCAGTGCTGACACTGCAAATGTATGTTAGCTTATGCCAGACAGCTCTGTTTAAAAAAATAAATATGGAAAGTATTGATCAGATCAAATCATGCTATCCTCTCAGATCAAAACTCTTTCTACTGTAACCAACACAGGGGTCACTGAATGGGCACATGCTCAGGTCCAAAGCTAGCTCAGTGACCTGCATTTCTGTGCTCATTAAGACACTGCCACAAGGGCACGACATGCAAATGTCACTTGTACCCATCACTAGTGAGACCAGATAAATAAAAATTTCAGTATTTTCAAAAATGAGCAAGCATGAAGCAGCCTTGACAAACAGAGTCTGGGTGAGCGTCCCATGTGCCTTTGACAATCTACAAATACAAGACAAACAATTATCTTCCATCAGAACAGTCTTCCAGTCAGCAAATCCTGGTTAAAATTATCACCAGCTTGAAACCAGACATCCTACATTCTGAAAAGGCTCAGTGTACAACTTCATTCTCAGTAAAGCTGTGAAGGATTACATAAAAGAGACTCATAAGTATTCAGTCTAGGATCCAGCATCAGCAACATGCAAATACAACAAACAAAGCAGCTACCTAGGCTCTGATGTCAAGTAATCACCGTGCATATGTTGGATTTTGGCATTTTGCTGACTCCAGAGATCCCTGGATAATTTTACACAGGAAGAAGAGAAGCAACCTTGTTTTCTCCGATGCTGCAAGTGCTTCTGAAATTAGCTTGTAGGTGCAAACATCCTCCTCCACCCTTCTGTGCTTTACAGCTTCCCTCCTTCCTAGCAACCCCAGGGAGAGCCTGGCATATTCCTTGGGGTTTCATTCAGCAAGGCACTGAGGATTGCACCTACCTAGTGCAGCAGCACACACATCTCAGCATAACCTTTGTGCAGCTTTTCTGCTGGAGGATGATCAGGCCAGGGAAAGGAAGGACAGCACAACCCACATTGGGGTTAGCCAGGATAGTGTCCCCACACATGGCACAGCACTGCTGCCTCCTGCTCCATGCAGGAAGGGGGACATGGCTGCAACCCCTGCACCTGCAGGGCCTGGGAGCAGGCAGAGAGTGGCAGCACAGCCTTGTGGCCCTGGCCACAGTGACAGCCCCATCTCAGCCTCCCTCTTGCTGGGACAGCCAGGGCAGCTCTGCAGGAGTGTTGCTGACAGCAGCTGGCTTCCTCCATTTTTAAAGGCTGGTGTGCACAGGGCTGTATGACCATACCCAGCTGGAGGCAAGGTTGGCCTCATACCAGAGTCAGAAGGAGATCAGACCGGCAGAAAACTCATTTTGCTCCCCATGTCATGAGGCTCTGCTTTCTAACCTGAGAAGGCAGCAACTCTCCAGGATTCGTAAGCTGCTGTAGATCTGTGAGCAGCCATCAAGCTGGATAAAACTTCTCACTTCATCTTCATAGCTAAATTAAAACAGGAAGAAGCACCTTTAATCTGTTGTGCTCCAGAACACATCTAAAATCAACAGCACACTGAAGAAATACTGTGTGATTTTTTTGTCTTTTCATCTCACAGTTTCAATCCCCCAGGTGGGATCCACAACATGACAAAGTCTCTGTCCTGCCCAGTTAAGGGGGAAGACAAACACAGGAACAGCAGGGAGAGCCCTGGAGCTGCCTGGGTACCTTTGTCAGGGACCAAGAGGCAGGAGGTTGATTTGCAACACTTCCTTCTGGGAAGCAGCTCAGCTTTGTCAATAAAGGTGCAGAACAAAGCCTCAGTGTGTATGAATAACCCACAAGGTCTCTGAACTGCTTTGTCAGTCTCAGTCTCACAAAGGGCTTCTGCACAACCCATTTTATAGGAATTTCTTTCCTCTCATCATATGGAGGGCTAAGGATCTTAAACCAAATCTCCATCTGAAATACTACCTAAATCAGCAGTCCTGGCGTTTTCTGCTGTGGGGGATACATGGGGAGAGAAATACCCAAGAACAAAAAGCAGATTAGGGGAGTCAGAGGAAGTGGTGAGAGGCCAGATGAGAAGACATTTGTTCTGCTATGAGAACCAGGACAGAGCAGAGCTCCCCACCCTGCCACAGAGCCAGCAGAAAGCTGTGCCTGGGATGCACAGCCAGGTCAGGAAGGGCCAGGCCTGGGCACTGGGCACCTGGCTGCCCCTCTTCCCAGGTGTGTTTAAGGTCTGAGCCTCTCCAGACCTCCTCCAAAGGCTTTATCCTGTCCCAGCTACTCCAGATGCACTTTGTTCCCTCAGCTTTGGTCCAACAATAAATACTGAGCACACAAACAGCAGTGAAGTGCTGTCTTCCAGCTTCATGGGAAACAGCCATCATGATCCAGGTGAACACAGCATCACCAGCTGCTTCATCAGGGTTTCTTTCTTTTGAGCATTAAGAATGTTACCAAGGAGGAAAACAGCATCCTTCCTACCTCTCCAGGAACCTCAGGCACTCCTCCAGGCACTCAGCTTCCACCTTCTCACCCAGGCTCTCGCTGACTCGCCTGGCAGCCTCTGTCTTCTCTGTTAGTATCTGTGGATTTCAATGTGTGAGAGGAGAACTGGCCAAAGTCATTTGTTCCCTGTGCAGTGGACAGGAATACATCCCACTCTTCACCCTGCAGCAAATCCCTCTGCCCTAGCCACCAACTTCTGCTTCAGTTTTGAGAGTCCTCATGGAAATAAATGTATTTTTTATCAGCCTTATTGTAATGCCTAACCCTACACCTTTGCTACCACTGTTTTTGTTGTGGTCAGCTTGGGTAAAAGCCCATCCCTGCAGATGTTTTCTGCTGGCCACATCCAGCCTGGCAGCTCAGCTCATACACAGACCTGCCATCTGCAGGAGCTTCTGTGCTTCTACTTGACTCACCCTGGCAGATAAATTTGGGTGCAGCCACTAAAAAGAAGGTTATGCAGACCTAACTGTGTGCCCTGCACCTCTGCCAGGGTCTCTGCATGGCATGCCTCAAGAGGGCAGGTGTCACCTTCCCAGCCACCTCCCTCACACCTGGCACAGCTCTGTGTGTTAAGCCCCACAGCACATGTCCTGCCCCCCTGAGCCCAGCTGGGTGGCCCAGGTGTCTGCAGGAGGTGGGCTGTGCCAGACAGCTCAAAATTCACCCCACATCGGGCAGGCTTGAGCAGGTGGCAACTTAATGCTGCCCATTTAGTTGCTCTGTGGAAACAAAAGCTTGCAAGGGGAGGAGGGCCAGATGGAAAAAAGGAGACAGATGGACCCATATGCTGTGCCCTCACAGTGCTCGTCAGTCAGAGACAAAGGGTGACTCACATCATGAATGGGTTTTTCCACTGCTCATAACAGATGCAAAAGCTCACCCAAAGGGGCTGGATGAAATAAGCCACCCCAAAGTGTCAGAAAACCACAGCTGATGAGTTTCCATGACACCTTGATCATTTTCTATCTGAAGTTTAAGTGTCAGCCTGAGAAAATTGAGGAGGTGGTAATTTCATAAGGCTTTCCTATTAATCCAGGCTTTTCCATCACCCACCCCAGAGCATTCAAACCTGTCAGCTGCATACACAACAGAGTGAACCCACTCATGCTGAAGCATGGCCAGATGTTACAAATATGAGGACTATGGGATTCAAACCATGCTTTGTCCTAGTTCCTGTTAGAAAACTTTCCACTGTGAGCCAGGAGCAGGAAAAAAACATCTTGATAGTTAAACATCACCCTAGCACAGGTACATCACTGGGCACATCACTGCTCCATGGCTCCAGCAGGTACAGGGCAAGGCAAGGAGAAAACAGCCCCTGATGTGAGCTCTGCTTTTGGTGCCACAGTCTGAGATGGGCCAGAAAAGCGAGTGCTTGCCAGCTAAAGCTGTATCCTCACAAGGAAAACCAGCTGCTGCAGATCTGCAATGCTTCCACTGCCTGAGGCTGCCATCCCAAAGGACCATGGAGCTACTTCCCTCTCTCATGGCCTGAATTGAGAGTGCCACTGGGGTGGTGGAAGAAAGCAGAGAGTAAAGATAGCCCTGACAGTCCAAAGCCATGCCCCTGATCTCCAGCACCACTTAAACCCACATATAAACTCCAGGATTTATGTTAATCCTTCTGCAGGTCGTGATCCACACCCCCTCTGCCCACAGTACGTGCTGCTCACGAGTCAGCAGGGTGTGTTCCTGCAGTGTGTCAGCCTGTGTGCTCCTCAGGTGTGCTCCTGCAGTGTGCAAACATGTGTGCTCCTCAGGTGTGCTCCTGCAGTGTGCTAACATGTGTGCTCTTCAGGTGTGCTCCTGCAGTGAGCTAACATGTGTGCTCCTCAGGTGTGCTCCTGCAGTGTGCTAACATGTGTGCTCCTCAGGTGTGCTCCTGCAGTGTGTCAGCCTGTGTGCTCTTCAGGTGTGCTCCTGCAGTGAGCTAACATGTGTGCTCCTCAGGTGTGCTCCTGCAGTGCCTCGGAGCCCTGTGCTGTGCTCTGCAGAGCCCCCTGCACTGCCTGACCAGGGCAGCAGTCCCAGCAGGGATGAGCAGGAGCAGCCTGCCTGCACTTTGCGCTGCCAGCCAAGGGGCCCTGCCATGGCTCAGCGGCTCTCCCTGCTTTTATAAAAGTGCTCTGCAGAGCTCACACTGAGCAGGCTAGGTAACACACAGCACCACTTTCCAAAGGTTACATAAAGATCCAGGAGCATGTATGAAAATGCAGCTTCAGCTTGAATCAGCTCAGGTTGATCCTTAGTTTAGTAAGGGGGTATTTTTTTCCCAAAAACACATTTGGGAGCAAACAGGCACAGCTTAAGTATGGCAGCCAGCTTGCAGGCTTTTAGCACACTGAGCTTAGACTGAGACATGCAAAACTGGGTCTTGCCAAATACCCACATGCTTGTGTGCAAAAACACCACTACCCCAAAGACTGGAGCTTTTCATTTCCCCCAGTTTACCTCAATGACTGCAGCATCTGCCCAAGGGGGTTTCCCAATATCAAAGGCTTCTTTCAGTGCTTTCCCCACTTCCTTCTAAATGATAAAAGGAAATTAAAAAGTACAGTTAAGATACAATGGCATTCATAATGTGTTAGGCTTCCCAGCCTCTCATTATCCATTTGGAGTAGATGAATTTCTGCCTCCATTTTTTTTGGCTGTCTCTTTTAACCCAAAGCCTGGCTGTTTTCCAGCTGACCTAATAACATTTTTCTGTTTTGTTCTACATTGTTTGTTTGAGTTTAAGTGATTTGCAGCTTTCTTTCATCCCAGTGTCAGCTTGGGTTATCTACAGTCTTCCCTAGCTAGCTTAGCTCAAATGAAGGCGCCCACACAGCAAAACAATGCTTAGATACATCTCCATGCTGCCAGCTACTGTAGCTGAGATTTTCCACCCTTCCTCTCTCCAACCAGCATCCAGAGAAACCAGCCAGCATTGATTAAAACCATTCCCTTGCTTGAGCCAGGGACTTGTGAGTGCAAAGAGGAGCAGGCTTAGTGTTTAGAGCTACTGTCATGGTGAGATGGGCCCCATGAGGCTGCACGATGGGAAATTTCCCAAGACTTGGCTGGCTTGTGCTTGTTTGAATGGCTGTAAAAACAAAACTAGCACTGCAGAGAAAGGGCTTGTTGCTTAAAACATGATCTGACCTTTACAGAAGCTTTAAACTCAAAAGTCTGGCTTGCTTATTTATTCTTTCATTTCTGAATCTTCCTCCAAGGAATATAAAGTCTGATCTCCCATTTTGGTCTTTGTTCTCTTCTGCCTGATGAATTAGGAAATTTGTGGCTGTCAGCTGAAGAATTTCATCAAAAGTATATTCAAAACAACTGCTCTCCCATATTCACTGAAAAGTGTTAATCAAAGACAAACAAGCAGTTGTAAACAACCCAGAAAAATTTCTTTCCTCACAAGTGCCATCACCTGACTGTGAGCAAATGTGTGAACACTATGTGCTGAGATAGCACATCCCTGCTGAGCTGCACAAACACTTCAAGCCTGCCCCCCACAATGGGACAAAGCATGGCTTAGTGAGGAACTGCAAGGCAGTTAATAACTTGTTGAGGACAGCACTTAGTTGTTTTGGATCAGATTATGTGTCTGCATTAGAAACAGCCTGCTTGGCTGTAGCTCTTGCAGAGACACCAGCACGTCAGGCACCAAAGCTCCAATGTGGAGAGGACCAAAACTTCTGCTGTAATAAACAGGTCCAATTTACTTCTTGTTTCCTCCTATCTGACCAAAATGTTGCAAGGCTTCAGATCCATGGATGGTCAGTACACCTGTGCTGACTGCACAACAGGAACTTCTCAGTCCTCCTTCTGTCCACTTGAAAAAATACAGGGCTGGTGGGGAGAAGACACAGAGCCAAGTGATCCTTGCAGGGCAGTGTGAATGAGCATCAGAATGAGCCCTGGCACCATGCTGGAAGGCCTGCCTTGCACTCTTGTCAAATTCCCCAGTACAGCAAGGGCAGAGGTGGCAGACTGGCAACCCAGCTGATGGCAACAGCATTTTCAGTTCACTAGCTTTGTAACCTCAAAGGCACAAAGCTCCCCTGCCCCAGGTGTGTCCAGACTGAGGGGAATGCTGCCTGCATGCAGAGCTGACTGAGTTCCCCACACTGGAGTTTCAAAGTGGTTTTCATGGCATCTGGGCTCTCAGCACCTTCAGATATGCTCACAGTTCTCAGCACTCATTTCTGTTTAAAGTGCTTTTAGTTTGCACAAATATCAGGCTGCCACACCCAAAGATAAGCCAGGTATTCCTAAGCAAAGCAGACCATAGCTTATTTTGGTCAGGATCTTCTCATTCTGAAATTTTAGTCATCCACTGAAGTGGCAAAACGCACACCATGTGATTTAGGCACAATAATACATGACAATTGTTAAGAGATAACAGCAGGATATTTGCTCAATAACAACTGCCTGTATATTAGTATAATAAAGGCTGAATTACCCTAGAAGCTGAAATAGAGAGATAAAGCAGGTTTTATAAGCTGTACCACTGAGCTGAAGAGACATCCATAATTTTTCCATATGGAGTCAGCTTATGTCCACTTAAGCTCATTAGCTTGAGTCTGGAGCTGTTCCCAAGCTGGCCAGGTTTGAAGCAAGCTGGAGCAATGCTGTGCTACACTGTCCAGCACTTCCAGCTCTGCTCTTTCTGTACAACTCAGCACCACACAGAACTGGGATGCTCCAGGATCCAAGGTGGCATGAAAACTCAGGGCAGCACAGCACAAAGGCTCATAACCAGATTGAGGTGAGCCTGCTCAGCACATGGTTTATCAGGAAAACAGAAAGCCCACAGTTAAGCAAAAGCATTCTTCAGCTATTACATTAGAGGGAACTAAAAAAAAGTTAAATTTCCCATCACTGTTACTCAGCATCTTTGAGGGCTTGACAATGACTCAGGGACTTGCTCTAGGATAACCTCAGCGGCACTACCCTGAGTTAAGTCACTTCCTTCATTGAAACAAATGCTAGAAAAAGAGCTTGAGAACACATGGTGTCCCCAGGGTAATGATTAAAAACAGCCCATAAAGAACTTAAACACTGAAACCAGTAGGCTTTAAGCATATTGTCACCAGCTGGCACTTCTACTTGCATGTTTGTGACTACCTTCTTGTTCTTCAGGGAATAATTCTTGAGGAAAATCTCTGCAATTTAGAGTACTTTCCCAGGAATGATTCAGCAGTTTGCCATGGAATTTCCCCTCCTCTGCTCCCCAGGGGCCGGTGGAAATGGAAAGCAAGAGAGCTGAGTGTGGTAACTCCTGCTGTTGCATTTCAGCTTCAGCTGAATAAAAGAGGCCCTGCTGAGTTTTCCAAATAACGTGGTTTCCTCTGGAACTCCCCATTGCCACAACACATCTTCCCTGCTTCATTTGTATTCCACATGTCTCAACAGAATTCTTCAAAGAGGAAACTTTGCTGGGAAAAGAGAGAGATGCTGCAGGGCTGGGGTCACCTGTGGGATCACAAGACAGGATTCTCTGTGGAGGGCTGCTGGGTGGGCACCAGCTGCACATTTTCTTGTGCTGAGCTCTGGAAATAATCTTTGCTCTAACATCAGCAGTGTCAGTCCAACAGGCTGGAGAGGGCTGTGAGGGGTTCACACAGAGACAAATTTAGCAGCCTCAATATCCTGCACAGCTGAGGCAAAGGGGCTGTAAGAAACCCCAGCTTTGCACACGATGGGATCATTAACAGCTGGAGAGAAGATGAATAACATTTTGAAATGACCTTCAATAAGGAAGTGTGTTTCACCCATAGTCTCCCTTTCTTCCAGATAAAAGGGCTTCTGAGCAGATTGTAGCTCTCTGAATATACAGCAAGGGGATGAAGAGAGATTTGCAAAAGTCCCAACATTTCCTAGCTAAGGAACAAGGACAAGGCAGCCTCCCTTTGGCAGCAGACAATCATGGATCTTCACACCTGGGCTCTGCAATGAAACTCGGTCAAGATGGAAACCCTGAGACCCACACATGCCTGAGCAGGGCTGGCTGTTTAACAAGGGCACCCCTTAATTTTACACCAGGGGAATAAAACTGGCAGATTGAGGTAAAACTCCTGAGTTCTTACCCGTGCAGTTGCAAGTAACTTTTCCTCCGTCTTCCAAAGGATCCACACGAGGCACTGTGCACCAAGGGAAAGGCTGTGCCCGGGTCTCTCACAGGCCTGGCTGCCTCTGTGTGCAGAAACAAGAGCTCAGCCAGAGGGGCAGCATCCCATGGGCGCACAGCATCGCCTGCCTGGCACCTCAGCCCCACACCGAGCAAACAGGCTGCCCTGCAAGGACCCAGCCCTGCTTGCCAAGCTTGGGCAGCCACAGCGCAGTAGATCTGGACAATGGCCTTTGGCCAGTTTTTCTTTTGTGCTGTTTCTTTTTCTTCTTCCTACATTTGCTGCCCAAGTTAAGGGTTTTGCTTGTTGTTCCCCTCTCCCCTCACTGCTGCTCAATTCCTTCTTAAGATCAGGGAGAGTCTCCCAAGCACACTTGCATGGATGCACAATTTTGCAAGTGTCACATACTCTTTCTGAATGGAATAAGAAGCAGCTATTTACCAAGACAACTGCATCTATGCATGAGCCTTCATAGAGGTTGTAACTGTATTTAGAGAGAGGAAAAATCAAATGCTGAAGTCTGGCATCTCTCCTCTCCTCTCCTCTCCTCTCCTCTCCTCTCCTCATTTCTATTCTTTTCACTACCATCTGACTAATAGAGTCACTGTCTTATTTGTTTGAGGTTTTTTTTTTTCTTGAAGGGATTCTGCATTTATATAATACATTTTTTCCTATATTCGACTTTTCTTTATGTAATTAAATTACATTATTTTTCACCTCCACTTTTATTAAAGTGTTCAATATTTAATAAATCCATTACTCCAAAGTTTTACCATTTTAAAAGCAGCAGTAAAAGGGATGCTGACCACATCCTGTATATGTACCTGATAATGGCCAGTGTGTACCCACCACAGTTTCCCTCCTTCAGGAGTTGGCTGGTGGAAGAGACCACCTGATGAACTGTTAATGAGCTAATCAGGGGTTTTTAATTGTAATTAATACAAGTACCAGAGAAGCTGTGGGCTTGGATGAAAGCAATCAAATAATCCAGAAAGGCTGAGAACTATTAGGCCTAAGAAGATTGGAGTTGCTGAGTAGCAATTAAACCACGGACACAGGGAATCAAACGCCTCATCCACCATGAAAAAAAAGTAATCACAAGAAAGTTTCAGGCTTTGATGACACCCATAGGCTTTGAATTCACATTGGGCCAAAGGGCCCCAGATGTACCACTCTTCAGAGGGAAAGCCATATCTGCTTCCCCAGACTTGGGCAGGAATTTAATGATCTGTTACATGTTTTTTCTGTGATCTGAGTGCTAATGAAGGAAATAGAGAAACAACTGGGAAAACTACAAGCCAGATAAAGCAGTGGGAGAACCAAGGGCAGAACAAGAGAAATCCATAGAGCACCATGCTGACATAAAGGCCAGGGAAAATTACTCTGGGGTAATTAGAGTATTAGGGACCTTGTTAAAAAAGGCTTGATGCAAGGAAAGAAATTGTTTAATAAAGCTGAAAACTGTGCATGTCCAACAGCAGTCCAGCAGAAAAATACCTGCACACTTCTGGTAAACCCCTGAATCTGGCACTATGGATTAAGAAAGAGGCAGTACTGCAATGAAAAAACGCTCTGGTTCTGAGAGCACAGGAGATAAAAGAGACCGTGGGCAAATCTAAACTCAGCAAGAGTCCTCATCATCACTGTGTTATCAGGAAGCAGGGATTGTTCTCAGAAACAAAAATTGCGCTATAAAAAAATGTAGGAAAAAAAGCCCTTCAGACGTACCTTTTGTACATTTTAATGATCCATTCATAAATTAAAAGGCTCTGGCTGAAGCTGAAACAGTTTCTGTCAGTAAGTGTGGCAAGGTGAGAGCACAAGGAGGCATGACAGCAGCGGGCATAGGTGACGAGCAGTCCTGCTTCCCTGAAGACATCACTTCTGTGCTCCAGGCTGGGGACAAATGTCCTTTCCAGGTGACTCAGGTGCTGTTTCAGGGCAGTCTCATTGGTGTCAGTAGAGGAATCAAGCAGGGGAATCTGGGCTGTCATGTACTGCATTAGCTTTTCCTCCAGATCTTTTTTCCAGAAGTTTGGGCTCCAGGTGGAAACAGAGTCTGTCTCTAGGCTGTTGCCAAGCCGCTCTGCTTCCTTCTGCTTCTCCCACTTCAGTGATTCCCCCACTGACTGCAACGGCTCCAGGAGCATCCTGTCACCTCCACTGAGTGCTTCTCCCACTACAGTCCACATTCGTTCAGCCAGCAGCACATAAAGTGATTCAGACTTTCCCATTCCATCATCTCCAGAATGCTCCAGATTATGAATTTGATCACAAGCTTCCAAAAATTTTCCTTGCTCAATGAATCTGCAGATGGTTTCCTCTGCAACAGAATAAGAACACAAGCTGCTACAGGTCTATAGGACAATCACTTTAATATCCAAATTATGAAGTATCTAGTTTATATCTATTCCAGAATTCCTCAGGATCTACTCAAGATCAGCCCACTTAAGGTCTAGCACTATGACCTCTCAGTTTCCTCAGGGCAAGCACTTTTTTGTTTCTAAATTTCTTTCATCCTTTCTCCTCCAGGTTAACCAAGCCTGAAGAAGTCTGCAGCTTTCTGCCATCACTCCAGAGACCTTCTCATGTGAGCTATGAGGGTTCACTAATTACAATCTCTCCATAAGAAATGTACCTTCTGTCCAGAAAAAAGCATTAAAGAAGGGACATCTTCTGAACAAGACAACTGCTGAAAGCCAAGCCTGGAAGGAATTCTCTGCCTCCTCTACAGAGACCCTGGCAGGACCAAAGTGCTGCAAGCTCCCTTGGAAGGAAGATTTTCAGTGCTGCTTGTTTCCAGTGCATCTTACCTAGCACATCCAGTCAACCAACAAGAGTTAAATGCACTCTCACAACAGATTCACAGAGCTGCAGGGCTTTTTCCATGTATTTTATGGATTACAAGGTTGAGCAATGAGGGGTTAAGGTTTGCCAAAGGTATCTGGAGCAGAGCCCAGAGGACAAATCGAACTTGATAAGAATGCAGGGAAAGTTAAGCAAAGCCAGAAGCAGAGGGACTTAAATAATTCAGGATACAACTTTGGATGTAGAGTGAAGAATGAAAGGAGTATGAGCTTCCACTTTCCAAAGTGTTTTGCCTATATCCTTCCTACCTTTCCTCTATGAAAATATCTCAAATGTGAAGTAAGAATTAAATCAAACAGGACTGGAGGGAGGAACATGACATGAAATGGAGAAGGGTTGATGCAAAGATGTTCAGTAAAGCAATTGGCAAGTTATTCAGGAGGGGCCTACAAGCTGCACCCATCCTGCCTCGATGCATACAACACATGGGAAATGTTTAATTGGCACAACCAGCCTGTGTGCAGCCCACCTCCCCCTCCCATCTGTGGAGGAACAGCACCGTCACATGGCTGGGGTGTCAGCCACACATACATCATCTTTCTCACAAGACACATCAGGAGTCTTTGCAGAGATAAAAATAAGAACAGTAAAGAGAAACGTTTGTGAAGCAAATAAAAAGTGAAATTCAGAACTGCCCAGAGCAGCAAGCATAGGGTTCAGAAGGGACAAGAATTCAGGTGAAGGATGGGGAGGAGGAGAATGGAAAGCACCTGATCCAGAAGTTGATAAGAAACAAGAGCCTGCAGGATGGGAGGGGCAGAAGAGATCCAGGCCTGGACCCAGAGAGAACTCCAAGGTTACCTGCAGGCGTCCCTCTCTCCTCTCCTTTCCTACTGCTTGGTCTCTTCAGCAAATTCCCTGCCACATCCTCAGCACCAGCCTTCTGCACCGTTTCCTTCCCACCAACCACAGTCTTCAGCAATTTGCCTGCCACGGTTTTCAATTTCCCTTTCCTTTTTGCCTCCTGCTTCTTTCTCTCCTCATGTGTGGCCTTGGGCAGTATTCTTGCATTTTCCCCAGTCATTTTCTCCCCCTTCTTGTTGCCTCCTCCCACAAAGGCTGCCCAGGAATGCTTTCTCTTCTGCATGATACAAGCAGACTCAGGTTCTTTCTGTCCAACTGGGAATACTATCAGAAGAAAACATGAGAAATAGTTCTATGCAAAGTAATCTTAATTTCTGTCTCCCAGAGAAGTTGTCTCTTCTTCTGACTTTTTTTCTGCACAGCTACAGGCTTCAGCTGCCTTTGAAAAAGTCTAACCAGGTTCCTGTCTGTGCCAAGTGAGGACACTTTTATAGGCTTCCAGCCTCTTATGTAATCCTTCCCTCTTCTGGGTAAATAATGTCAAAAACCTCATACATAATCTAACCACAAACACTGGGGGAAAACCAGGGGGATTTTTGGCATTTTCTAAACGATTCAAATATCCCTGCACTGCCAGTTATCTTGATGACAATCCTATCAGTTTAAGGGAGTTGATTAGTAACAACTTTTATGAAGCACACATCCTTTTCCACCCACCCTGCATGCCCAGGCTGCACCTGAGTTTTCCTTTGGCAGGGAGATCACATCTGGGTTTGGAGCCAAGTTTTCCCTCACCTCCCAGCAAGCCCAGTGTGAGCCAGCAGGGATGTAAAGGCCCAGAGAATGGGTGTTGGTTTCCATTTTCTAATAACACCATTCAGAGGGGATGAGAGCAACCTCAGCCTTCTGGAATGTGCAATATTCCAGCAACTATGTACACTATTGCATATTATTTTAAATTTATGTACACACACATGGGTATAAACAGCATAACATTGCAGCAATCCAGCATATATGTGTGTTTGTCCATACATGTATGCACACATATGGATCTGATTACCACCCAACACCCACAAGTGAAGAAAAAGGAGGAGATTTTCTGCTTAGCATGAAGTCCATATTAGGCTGCTTAAGGTTCTGACCATAAACCACAGAAAAAATTCCTCTACAGAAAGTATCCTTTAAATCCAGGAGCTTGCATTTAAAATAGATTTTTTTAAGTCCCTGTGAGAACTTGGAGAGGAGTTGAAATGCTGTCCTTACCACACCCTTCTTGCAAGAAAATTACAAACTGGGCTTAATTCTCCATTCCATTATTATAAAGATGAAATCAAAAACTTGAGGATTTTCATCAGCTGAAGACAGTTTGTATTAATCATTACAAGCTGCATTGATTCAAAACCATGCACTATGCCACAATGATTTCAGGGGTATGAATTTAAGGGGTGATTTTTCCACACGTCATTTAGACTGTTCCAAATATGTTAATTCATATTTCTGGGTTTAATGCCTGCAGTTTCTTCCAAGATTTTCTACATTTTCATTATAGTAAAATTCCACTAGTTTCCTTCTTGGAAACCACGTGAATATTTTGTTCTGGCTCTTTTATCAGTGCTGAATTCCACCAGCATGTTATCACAGAGCTGTTTGATTCATTAGTAACAATAGGGAGGAGGAAATAAATACATTTCATTTGGAAAGAGAAACAGAAATTCCAGCAGTGGTCACACATTTGAGCTGCCGCCAGTAGGAAATACTGAGGTTGCAAAATACAGTGTTTTCCCAGCTCGTGAATAAAGTTGAAAACTGAAAGGCTTTATACACATTCCATTTTGACCCTAATTTTTAATTTGCTGAAGTAAAAATGTTTCATTTTGAATGTTATAGCTGCACAGTACATGAACACAAAATGGAGTAAGAGGGTCAGTACTGAGAGAAGCATTCCAGGCGTGCTGAAACCCTTCAGCAATATTTTCCCATGAAAATTCCAACACAATATGTTTATGTTTCACTTCATCAGCATTTTTCCAAGCCTGTCTCTAACAAAAACCATTTCCCTAGACTTCTCTGTGGAAGGAAATTAGATGTCAAAGTGCCAGTCCTGAAGGCAAGACTCCCTGCAGTACACAGATTTTGAACACACTTACAATTGTAGATCGTGCCCTAAGCTGTGGCAGCATGATGTGTGGGAATGGCTGTGTTTTCCCAGAAAGCCTCTTTCAAGGGAATACAATACAAGCCTGAGGAAAGCAGGGAGTGACTGCAGGGATGGACTGACATCCTGAGGCTGGGACAAACTCTTATTCCATGCACCACTTGACCCGCTCAATCAAGGGAATGTCAGGCACTCCCCAGGATGAGAGGGCACGGCCCACCCGAGCACTGCAGCACCAACCATCCCCATGGCTCTGTGTGCTGCCTTCCCTCAGCCACAAAGCAGGGCAAGCAGGGCAGAGCAGGCCGTGGCCTCCAGCAGCAGGCAGCCAGGAGGGCTCTGCAGGGACAGCAGGGTGAGGAGGGTCACTCTGAGCAAGGTGCTGGGCCCAGCAGCAGCAGGAGGTGATGCCCCAGCAATCCATTGTCACCACTCTGCACCCCTGCACATAATGGCTTTGTGCAGCCATGATATTTTCTGAAAAATCCTTTCCTTAGGATTTTTTCTCCTGAGAAGCTGAGAGACCTCAGGAACAAAATGTAAACAATGGTTATCTGCTGCTGTGGAATGCAACAGGTGGATCTGTGTTTGGTCTCATGTGGTTGTTTCTAATGAATGGCCAATCACAGCACAGCTGTCCAGCCTGTCTCAGTCAGTCACAAGCCTTTGTTATCATTCCTTTTCTATTCTTAGCCAGCCTTCTGATGAAATCCTTCTTCTATTCTTTTAGTATAGTTTTAATATAATATATATCATAAAATAATAAATCAAGCTTTCTGAAACATGGAGTCAACATTCTCATCTCTTCCCCATCCTTGGACCCCTGTGAACACCATCACAGCTTTGGGTTGAGGGATGTTGTCTCTGAGGGGAATGCTCTCCCGCAGGAGGGGACATGGCACAAGAGAGCTGCCCAGGGGCCTCCAGCAGCCTGCTTTCCTGCTTTTCTGTGTGCCTTAACAGCACACACAGGGTGTACAGGTCTCTCCCCTCTGTCCCCAATGCTGTGTTACTGCTCAGGCTGAAATTCTGCAGTTAAAAGATGGGGATGATCTGAGTCTCTAGGAATCATCCAGCACAGGGCTCCCATGGATGCTGTTATGCTGACACAGGCAAAGCTCACAGGGAAGCTACACCTTCATATAAAGGGTTTAGATCAGACTAGAACAGAGGTTTTCACAAAGAGTTTACACAATGCAAAGGGGATTGTTTGCTGTCCAAAGCCATTGGTTTGGGCAAAGGAACTGGTGCACGGCCACATTTTATCTGCTCCTTCCATGGGCTCCTGAGCTGCCCACCCAAGGGAAGCCACACCAAGGAAAGAAGTGCAATAGGAAACCAGAAAAACACAGGACCAAGAACAAGGACAGTTCTGCTTCTGAACAAACTCCTTTGTCAGGTGTACAAAATGACTTTCTTCTTCCTCCAAAGCCACTTCTTGGAAGCCAGCCCTCTCCTTCTTCCTGGTGTTTCAATGCCTCCATTTATCCACAGTGGGATTTTCCTAGCAGGTCATTTTCCCTGCCATGACCCTTACTGTGCTTACTGTGAAAGAGAAGCCATTTGTCTCCTAGGAACATCCCCAGCATTCAGGAGTTTCCCTCATTTCCTGGAGCTCCTAGAAAAGTCCACAGCCTCCCCACATCACTGAGACTCTGTCTTCCTATCTCAGAAAAACTGTAGCTCCTTTGTCTTTGGGATTTTACATTAAACAAGTGAATGTTGTGGAGAAATTTTATATTGTTTCCCTGTTGACTTATCTTTATCTTGCTATTTCCCAATTCTTCTGCCTATATAGATAAAATCTCTTCATAACAAGTGGATTGTGTGCCTGACTTGAACAATAGGTGTTTGGTCCTGATGCTGATCAGATGAAGTCAGACTATTAGCACTACAAATTAAATGACTTTGCAAGAGTCCAATCACATTAATATTCCAATTCCAGCAATGCAGTGATGCCTCTGCTCGCTTTGCAGGGACATTGCATTAACACAGTCATGCATAGACAATGGAAACTTTGTGTTCAGTAGCATCTGTTTATGAAATACACTTGGTCCTAAGAGGCAGGTGGATTGCAGTATCTGGAGAGGTTTTTCACTTCCTTCTTTTGTTTCCAGAACACACTGGTACTTTCCACTGCTTTGAACCAAAGGCATGAAACATGGCAGAAAGGATATATTAATTATTATGATAAAATATGCAGAGTATGGCACAGAAAGATGTTGGATTCCTAGGATATAAATCCATGCAAAACCACTCTGTGAAGCTATATTGCAGTCAGACAAGGTGTTCCTCCACTCACACACAGCACCTTTGATTTCATCAGCAATCAAAGAAGAGCAAGTCTCCATTCCAAGCAAGGTAGGTTTTTATGGAGAGATACAAAACAAACAAACCAACAAAGAAACAAAAGTACCTTCCCCTCACATTTGACATTGCAGCTGGTGTTGCCATCACAGTCGTGTGCAAGAGGTGACTTTGCCTATTGCGCACAGTCAGATGTTTATCATCTGTGAAAAACATACATTAATTCTTATTTCCTAAGGATAATTCCACTTCCTAAGGAAACGAGACAACACAGCCAGAGTATCTCTGTATTCCTGTGATTCCCTGCCCTAATGCACAAGAATGGATTTTAAGTCAGTTTTAACCAGTTTTAAAGCCAGTTTTAGCCAAACTGAGAGAAGGTGGCTCACACAAAATAGTTCATCCTTACACACTTTATAAACATACACATCTGAGGAGAGGATAGACCTTCAGTGCCCCTCTAAGGAAGGGAACACAGCATGAACTCAGCCTTTATTTAATATCAGAGGCTCCACCCGGCAGCACAGTCTGAAGGTACACAAACACTGTTTCCTTGCCTTGGTGCTCACCAAATCCCCTGTACTCTCCAGATAACCTGTGTGCCTGTGCAAATAAAGCAGCACAAATATTTAATACAGGCAGCCTCTCCTGTAGCAACAGATGGAACAGAGTTCCTTCCCTAGAGTGATTCCCAGCCCCAAGCTGCAACCTCTCCCTGCCTGAGATCTGTGATACCCCAAATTTGCCACCAATTTTGGAGCAAAGGGGAAAGAAGAAAACTTCTTCCTTTCTCTTCCTGAGTGTGTTTGCTTGGGTAGCTTTTCTCTGCTCAGTCACTGATTTTTAACCCATTTTGGAAGAGTTAATCTGAAACTTCTGTTCTTCTCTGGATTTGTCTGAAACTGGAGGGGATGGGCAGATGGGTTGACAAGACACTGCATGGCCCAGCAATTTCAGCAACCACACTAAAGTCCAAAGAATA